AAGGAAGAACGGAGGGAGAGAGGAAAGGAGGGAGGGAGGGAGGGAGGAAGAGGAGGGACAACAGAATAGATGGAGGGAGAAAGGAGGAGGCCAAAATGTCAAAAAAAAAAAAAAAAAAGCCAGGCAATGATGGCGAACACCTTTAATCCCAGCACTTGAGAGGCAGAGGCAGACAGATCTCTGTGAGTTTGAGGTCAGCCTGGTCCACAAAGCAGAGTTCAGAAACCCTGTCTGGGGATATGGGGAGGGGGTTGTATTTTCTCCGTCAAATGCCATAGCTTTGCTGTGGCACAGAGTGTCTTCTGCTGAGCCACCTTACAGGGCCTGGGTGAGTGAACTAAGGAGTGTCTTGTTAAGAGCTGCAAGCTTAACCACCTACAGCAAATGTCAGGCAGGGATCTGAAAATCTGAGGTGGTCTGCAGGACATGGGACCTTTAACAGCACAGATGTTTTGAGAAATTAACTTTAGCCAGGTGGTGCCCCATGCCTTTAATATCACCATACTAGGGGAAGAGTCTACATAGTGAGTTCCAGGACAGCCAAGGATAGTCAGGACTACAGAGTGAAAACCTGTCTCAAAAAAAAAAAAAAAAAAAAAGCTTTATTAGCTATCTGGCTTTTCAGTCATTCATGGGGCATGTGATCACGTGTGTGTGCATATGTGGAAGGCTGTCAGGGGCTTCCTTTGTGGGGCTTCCTTGTCTAGCAGCTCCTCCATAGGCGCAGAGGGTTCTGTCATGCTACTAACTGGTTCAGAGGTAGATACTTCCTCCTGTCCAGTGCCTGGCTCTAAACTCTCTCCTATAAGCGTCCATAACCAAAGAGTATCTGTAGGTATGCTTTCAGGTCCATGCTCAGTATAATACTGTTGTATTTTTAACCTGACTTCATTCCATACACTGGAGTCTACAGTTCCATGGTTGGGAAACTCAGGACATACCTACTTTACAAATTCTAAACATTTCTGTAATCGTTGCTGCTCAACTTATATTCCCATTGTTAAAATATCTCTAATTGACTGTCCTGTCAACTGCTTGCTACTTCTCTGTCCCATTATTACAATTACATACAACTTTACTCCTGACTTACAAAGTTCACTCACCGCACTTTACTTCTTTTTTCCGAGCACTCACTTCACCTTTGAGGTGTTTATTCTTCTGCGGTGTCCATCACTTATTGCTCCCTCCCCCCCCTACTCAGTCCCATGTTTAGGTGCCATATGTTGGGAGCGGTCTTTGTGGGGCTGCAGTCAGAGCCAGCCAAGCCGCCCCAAGTCCGTACCTGAGTAGGGGAGTGTGGATGAGGGAAAGGCTAGCTACAGATAATAAAGAAAGAGAGAGAATAAAAGTCAGGAGGGCAGATCAGTCAATACTGAAATGCCACGAGTTTATTTTTCACCACTCTTATATACCTTATCCAAAAAGGGGAATACAGTATTATGTATATGGAACAAGCAGACTTTTCTTCCTTGCCTATTCTAAGGCTTCAGTAACCACACCTTAGCTCCAGCTTCTTGTTCCCTAGCCTTGAGGTCAGGAGTAGCTGCACCTCAGATTAAGGTCTGTTGTTATTTAGAACTAAAATAGCCAAACATCCTACTGGAGCCATGCCTTTGGCCTTTAGGTCTTATGACTTGCTGAGGACAGCTTTGAACTCTCTGTCCTTGTGCCAAGATGGAGTGCAGCCATCTTTATGGGCATCTACAGAAGACCGGGGGAAAAAAAAAAAACTCAAGTATTGTTCCTTACATGCCATCCACCATATTTTTTCAAATAATCAGTGGCCTGGAACTCCCAAGTAGGCTAAGCTGGCTGGCCAGTGAGCCCCAGGGATCTGCTGCCTCCCAGCGGATATTTTTTACATGATTTCTGTGCATCAGACTCAGGCCTTTATGCTTGCAAGGCAAATATGGCACCAAAGTCCCCAGCCCAAAAGTCTTTTAACATTGTGGAAGTCAGGCAGAAGTTGTTCTAAAGGTTGCCCCTTTTCAGCTGAGAACATTTTCTAGAAGATTCTCCTACTGCCTAGAAATTCTAACACTGCTTTCTGTTTGTTTGTTTATTTGTTTGTTTGTTTTGGGTTTTGGTTTGGTTTGGTTTTTGGTTTTTGGTTTTTCGAGACAGGGTTTCTCTGTAGCTTCGGAACTTGTCCTGGAACTTGCTCTGAACTCAGAGATCTGTCTGCCTTTGCCTCCAGAGTGCTGGGATTAAAGATGTGCATCACCACTGCCTGCATAAGTATTTTTTGTTTTTTATTTTGTTTTGTCTGTCTCAAAAAAAAAAAAAAAAAAAAAAAAAAAAAGCTTAGATTTGCTGGGTAGTGGTGGCACATGCCTCAGGAGGCAGAGACAGGCAGATCTCTATGAGTTCAATGCCAGGCTGGTCTAATTTCAGGACAGCCTCCAAAGCTAAGCAGAGAAACCCTGAACAACAACAACAACAACAACACACACACACACACACACACACACACACACACACCATGTGAAGTTCACTGAGGAAGGAAAGAAACTTCAATTTCAGCCTGGCGTTGGTGATGGCACATGCCTTTAATCCCAGCACTCCGGAGGCAGAGGCAGAGGCAGGTGGTTCTCTATGAGTACAAGGCTAGTCTGGTCTACAAAGTGAGTGCCAGGACAGGCTCAAAAACAATACAGAGAAACCCTGTCTCAAAAAAGAAAGAAACTTCAATTTCACCTTCCTACATCTGCCTGAGGTACTACCAGCTCCCTAGAAAGAGGTGCATGCCCAGACAGAACCAGACAGACTCCAAGAAGAGTGGTAGGAAGGGAGGAGGCAGAGTTTTACCCTGCGCATCTCTCCAAGCCCTACCCCATGACTTCTTCCCAGCCTCCCTTCTTGAGGTTTATCATCTGCATGACTGAACCCCCATACACTTAGTTCCTAACCTAGTCATAGCTTTCAGGTTTTAGTTAATTATATACGCAGCCTCCTAATGTAATGGTGAAGTTACAAAATATCAAAGCCCAAAGGCAAAGCTGACCATATCACCACAAATTTGTGTTGTACAGAGCACCAGGGGAGACAGTGGGCAGTGTTAGGGTACTGGGGCCCACACCACAGCAGAAAGAGTCTTCTTGTGGTCTTAAAGCTCATAAGCAGCCCTTTTCCTGACTGTAGGCCAAGCTGTCTTTGCTCACATTATGTCTGCAATCTTTGCTTTTAGTATCTTTCCCTTTCATCTCAAAATCTTCTTTTCTCTCTTTGTTCCTGTTCCCTTGACTGAAATTCCCTTTGATGTCTGTTGTCTAGGTGCACAAGATTTTTTTTTTATTGTTGTTTAAGGAATAGAATAAGTAAAGATGAAAAGAATGTTAATAAGGCTAAGCCCAAATAAGGAGGCCCCAGTCCTGCTATACCAAAGCCTAAATGACAGCCAGCTAGTTCTCTGTGTTCTTGGCAATGTAACCATGGTTCTGCAACAGTAAACCCAGACTCGCCACATAGTTTACCTTAGAATTTTTACCCTCAGTCATCCATCCTCCCCACCTTAATTTTTCTTTTTCTTTTCTTTTTTTTTTTTTTTTTTTTTTTTTTTTTTTTTTTTTTTTTGTTTGTTTGTTTTTGAGACAGTGTCTCTCTGTGTAGCTCTGGCTGTCCTGGAACTCACTCTGTAGAATAGGCTGTACTCAAACTCAGACATCTGCCTACCTCTGTCTCCTGAGTGCTAGGATTAAAGATGTTCACTACCATTGCCCTGCACCACCTTTATTTTTCAAAGTGATCAGCCATTTAATGCAGTTTTTGAGCTCATTTGTCAGTTTTTACATTACTACAATTTTAAGAAGAAACACCCTTGTCACCTTAAGCGTCAGATCTTCACGAGGTCATTTTGCTTCTGACTGAAAAGTACAAGCAGCCCACATGGGGAATTTGTTAAAGCGCAGATTCCCAGCCAACTGCTATAGACCATGCCTGCAAAGTCAACTGTTCAGAAGCTGAGGCAGGGATATCAGGGAGCCAAGACCACCTACAGCTACGTAGGGAGAGGCCAGCCTGAGCTACATGAGACCCTCCACCTGGACGTAGTGGATTCAATTCTAATTGACACAGCTCAGCTAAGTAAAGAAAGAACAGAGACAAAGAGAACATGGGCATTATTTCCAAAACAGTGTTCTCCCTAATGAAGGAAGCATGGAGATTTGATTTAGGGAGTCTAGACAGAGCTGGCTCCAGGCATGTGAAGTTCAGAGTTCACTCCTGAGCATTCTCAGTTAAAGGTCATACTTTTTTTTTTTTTTTCAAAAGATTTGTTTATTTGTAGTTTATGTGTATGGGTATTTTGCCTGTATGTATGTATGTATGTGTATCACATGCATGTCTGTTGCCCTAGGAGGAGGCTATCAGATCCTCTGGAACTAGAGTTTCAGATGGTTGTGAGCCACCATGTGGGTGCTGGAACCAAACCCAGGTCTTCTGCCAAAGCAACAAGTGCTCTTACCCACTGAACCATCATAACTTTAAAAGAAAAAGTGGTAGAAACATTTGGGAGGTATGCTCAGCTCAAAGTGGCAGAGCACTCCTGAAAGGGCTAATGTGACAGAAATGCCTCTGGGAATGCTTGACTTGCACCAGAAGGTTTCTCTTGCAAATAAAAGGTAGTAGGATGGTGAGATGGTTCAGCAGGTAAAGGTGCTTGCCACATCTCCAAACCTGACGATTAGGTTCAATCCCTGGGACCCACATGATGGGCAGAGAGAACAGACTCCCTGCCTCCAAAGTTGTCCTCTGACCTCTACACACATGTTGTGTCTCATACACACATTTACATACACATCATACATCATTACCACCAGCTGATGTCTTGTCCATCCATACAAGGCAAGCTATCTACCCACTAAGCTATGTACCCAACCCTGGAGTAGATTTTTAATAATTATTAGTATGAGCAGTTCATGAGCTACCAATTGGTTAAGTTATCGTCAAAAAAAAAAAAAAAGCTAAATATGCATGCTTCCTTATTTTGCCCTGTCTTTTAGAGAAATCAACTTTGCTGTAATTGGTCGGTATGTGGATTACCTGGTGAAAGAACAGGGAGTGAAAAGCATTTTTGGTAAGTCCCTTGAGATTTCTCTGAATGCGTCTAGCTCAGGCCTTAGCTGCTAGTATACCTCATCTGACCAGGAGGTCACAGGGCACGTGTCAGAGGTCATGGTGGAGCCCTGCTGTGATAACTAGACATTCTGAGTATATACACTTACTAACATTAGGTTTACAGATCCCCATAGTATCTCATTTGCAGTGTATGCCAACAAATACATTGTTTTTTGTCCCCACTTAGAGATAAAATTTGATGGCATAGAGACTCCTGAGGTCATGAAACCAAAAGGCAATAGAGTAACAGCCAAGTTTGACTAAGAAACATCTTAGCCCAGCACCCATTGTGTCCCAGCACTTGGGATGTGGAGGCATGGATCTCTGAGTTCAGGGCCAGCCTGCAGAGCAAGCTCCAGGACATCTAGGGCAACACAGTCTTAAAAAAATGCAACAAAACCTCACAAACAAAAAACACCTGCTCTTTTCTGAAGGAAATGGAGAAGCAATGAGCTCAGAGGAGAGGGAAGAGGGGGTGAGGCTTGGAGGAGCGGAGGCTGTGGTCGTGATGAGAGAAGAGTAAATAAAGAAAAAAATTACAAGGGATGAAAAAATTAAAAAGAAAACCAAATAGAAGTTAAGCCAATGTGGTGGCATGCACCTATAATTCCATCATTTAAGAGGGTGAGGCAGGGATATCATAAGGCCAGCCTAGATTACAGTGCAACCCTACCTTTCAAAAAATATATTAGGGCCTGGAATTGGTGGCACACACAGCAAACACCTTTAACCCAGCACTCAGGAGGCAGAGGCAGGGGGATCTTTGTGAGTTTGAAGCCAACTTGGTCTACAAAGTGAGTTCCAGGAAAGCCAGAGCTACACAGAGAAACCCTGTCTTTAACAAACCAAAAAATAAAAAAGACCAGAGAGGTGGTTCAGTGGTTAAGACTTGTTGTTTGTTTGTTTGTTTGTTTGTTTTGTTTGCAAAGGACCTGGGTTTGATTCCCAACACCCACATCAGCACAAGTCATGGATGACTAGGGGGCTGGAGAGATGGCTCAGAGGTTAAGATCACTGGCTGCTCTTCCAGAGGTCCTGAATTCAATTCCCAGCAACCACATGGTGGTTCACAACCATCTAAAATGAGCACTGGTGCCCTCATCTGGCACACAGGCAAACACTTCCCGCTCCAGGCTTTGTTTATTCAAAGAGGTTTCAGACCCCCCCCCCCCCAGACCTAGAGGGTTGGAGGAACAAAAGGCACTGGCTGGTTCCACTGACTGACGGACCTCTTTGTTTGGAACAGTGAATGGCACCACAGGAGAAGGCCTGTCCCTGAGTCTCTCTGAGCGTCGCCGGGTGGCAGAGGAATGGGTGACACAAGGAAGGAACAAGTGAGTAACTGTGCTGAAATAAAATGCAATCCATGGGCAAGATCTGTATTGAGCAAGGCTCTTCCTACTGTCCCAGCCCTGCCACCTCCCAGTCAGCTTCGAGCAAGACCCGGGTCTCTGAACCTCCCATGCTTGGCAAGGAGCTGCCTTCCCTTTCTGTGGAGGCAGCCAGACCACAGAGCACACCTGCTCCCATTCAGAAACTATCTCTCATCCACCTGGAAGGCTAATCTCAGGGGTTCCTGCCCTTGAACTGAAAGAGGAAGAGAAAGTGGCTTGCTATTGTGTGTATCATCCCTCCATCATAGTTTGGGTTTCTGTTGCTGTGACGAAACCCCATGACCATAAACAGCCTCGAGAGGCTTACACTTCCACATCATAATCCATCACTAAGGGAAGTCAGACAGAGCAGGAACCTGGAGGCAGGAGCTGATGCAGAAACCATGGAGGGGTGCTGCTTACTGGCTTGCTCCTCCTGGCTTGCTCAGTGTGTTTTCTTATACACTATCTGGTTAAGGGCTGAGCCCTCCCACATCAATCATTAGTCAAGAAAATCTCATAGAGACTTGCCTAGAGGGCAATCTATAGAGGTGTTTTCTAATTAAGATTCCTTCTTCCCAGGTGGGCAGTGGTAGTGCATGCCTTTAATCCCAGCACTCGGGAGGCAGAGGCAGGTAGATCTCTGTGAGTTCGAGGCCAGCCTGGTCTACAAAGCTACTTAGAGAAACCGTGTCTCCAAAAAAAAAAAAAAAAAAAAAAAAGGTTCATTTTTCCGAAACAAACTAGATGTCCCTCAGCTAAAGAATGGATAAAGAACATGTGGTATATTTACAAATGGAATACTACTCATCAGTAAGAAACAATGACATCCTAAAATTCACAGGCAAATGAACAGATCTAGAAAAAAAAATGACAACAACAAAAAAATAAAAACATTATGAGTGAGGTAACCCAAAACCAGAAAGACAAATACAGTATGTAGTCACTCATAACTGGATACCAGACAAAAAAAACAAAGATACCCAGCCTACAGTCCACAACCCCAGAGAAGCTAGAACCTTCTTCCAGAAACAGATGGAAGCAGATGCAGAAATCTATGACTAACCATTGGGCAAAACTCCTGGAGTACAATTGAAGTGAGGGAGAAGTGATAATACGAACAAAGGAGTCAAGACCATGATGGGGGAACCCACAGAATCAGCTGATCCAAGCTAGTGAGAGATCACTGACTCAGGTCTGACAAATGGGGAACCTGCATAAGACTGAACTAGACTCCCTTAATATAGGTGACAGTAGTATGACTGGGACAGTATATGAGGCCATTGGCAGTAGGTCCAAGATCTAACACTAATGCACAAACTGACTTAGTGGAGCCCATTCTATATGGAGAGATACCTTGCCCAGCCTAGACACTGGGGTGTGGGGATGGAGAAGTACCTTGCTTGGTCCTGCCTCAACTAGATGATGGGACAGACTTAGTAGACTTCCTAGGGGAGTCCTTACCCTCTCCGAGGAGCAGATGGGAGGTGGGGGGGGGCGAGTTGGGGGTTCGGGAGGGAAGATGGAGGGGGAACTAGGAATGGAATGTAATAAATAAGTAAATAAGATTCCTTCTTCCCAGATGACCCTGCCTTGTGTCAAATTGACAAATGTAGCCAGCACACTCACTGCTTCACTCCAGGGACCTAGAGTCTGCCCTCAGTCTGCTTTCCATCCAATTGGGAGTCAGGTTGTGAAACCCAGTACTCCCTGCTTCTGAGTTTACATGGAGGCAAACTAGTGGAGCTTAATAGAAACAGCCAAGCAAGCACTTCTTCCACCTGGCTGAGTGGAGTGGAGAGAGCAGGAGGATGGTGTCCATACAGGAAGTTTCCTTATCCCTGTGTTCGAATGCTAGCATATCCCACCAGAATGTTTGTTGGGTGGGCTTTTTTTTGTTGTTGTTGTTGTTACTATTTTTGTTTATTTATTTGTCTATTTTGGGTGGTTCATTTATTTTTTTTAAATAGGGGCAGGGTGAATCAGCTGCCCAGCTCCATTATTATTATTATTATTATTATTATTATTATTATTATTATTATTTATTATTATATGTGTGAGTATGTGGGCAACATGTGAATGTCAGAGGGCAGTTTGGGGGAGTCACTTTTCTCCTCCCACCATGTGAGTCCTGGAGATAGAACTCTGTCTGATCCTTAGACTTGTCAGCGAGCACCCTTACCAACGAGTCATCTTTCCAGTGCCTCTCTTTTCCCCAGGGAACAGTCTTTTGTCAATCTGGCTGGCCTGGCTCAGCTCATCATATAACCAAAGATGGCCTTGAACTTTCCATCCTCCTGTCTCCACTTCCCAAATGCTGGGATGGCGGGTACACAGTGCACCAGGAGACTAGAGCGCTCTACTCTTTGATTTTTGCTTTTTGAGACAGGGTTTCTCTACATAGCCCTGACTGTCCTGGAACTCACTATGCAGACTAGGCTGGCCTTGAACTCACAGAGATCCCTGCCTGCCTGTGCCTTTCAAGTGCTAGAATTAAAAGTGGTTGATTTCTAAGGAGTGCTCTAGTCTTAAGACGTAGCCATACTAACTCAGGCAAAGATCTTTTTTCTTCTTCCTGCGGTTATGTTGCTCTCATGTCCCTTTAGTTCAACATTATCTGTTTCTAATGGCTACAGGGTAATAATTGTACTTTCTTTATGAGAAGTTTCTTTTTCATTCAGTGGAGGGGGGGGGTCCTGTGGCAGTAAAAAGATGGATTCTAGCTGGGAGAAAGGGAAACTGTGAGGCCTAGTGACACAGACACAGGTATTCCAGGTTCCCTTTGTTTGGGGGGGGGGGGGGACTGGAGAGGAAGCCCCTCGCTGCTGTCTCAGCTTTGGGAAGTTGAGGTCAGCCTTCCCTCTTCCCATAGATTATTGTTCTCCTCTGTAGTCTGTAGTTTGCCTTTTTTTTTTTTTTCTTTTTTCTTCACCCTCACTTCTTTTTCAAAATGTTTTATTTTATGAGTGTTTGATCTACATGTGTGTGTCTGTGTACCACATGTGTGATTGATGCCCGCAAAGTTTAGAAAGGGCATTGGATCACTTGGAACTGAAGTTACAGGTGGTGTCGATTGCTGAAAATCAAACTTTTCCTTTCTAACCTCTTTTCAGTGAAAACAATTTCCCTCTGTTTATTTGAGACAAGTTCTCATGCAATTCAGTCTGTCCTCACTATGCAGCTAATGCTGACCTCGAACTCCCGATCCTCTTGCCTCCACCTCCCAAATGCCAGAATTTAAAGCATGAGCTGCTTTTAGTTCTTTCTTTCTCCAGCACCTTCTCCCCATTCTTTTTCAGACTGAGTCTCATTCTTCCCCTGACCCCATGTGGCTTTGGCTCAGCCTCCTGAGTGCTAAGCTTGCAGCCATGAGCCACCACATTGGTGTTTCACATACCCACACATATATTTTTTTTAAAGATTTCTTGTGTGTGTGTGTGTGTGTGTGTGTGTGTGTCCCTGTGTATGCCTGTGAATACAGGTCTCCACAGAGACCATAAAAATCACCTATAACTGGTTTTACAGGAGGTTATAATCCACTCAACTTGGGTGTTAGGAACTGAATTTGGGCCCTTCAAAAGAGCATCGAAAACTATTAACTGCTGTGTCATCCCTTCAGCCTCCATTCTTAAACATAAGCCTCAGTTTCTTATCTGTAATATAATTTCACATACACTTACCCTTCTAACCTCACAGTTTATTGTGGGTAGGAACTCTAAAACCTATACTTATAGCCTTGGATGGAAAAACCTATTATGCTCCTAATTTTTAGTATATTATTTATTTATTATTTCATGTCTATGATTGTTTTACTTATATGTATGTTTGTGTTTGTGTACCATGTGCATGTCTGATGCCCACAGAGGCCAGAAGAGGGTGCTGGGGATTGGACCTGGGTCCTGCGGAAGAACAGCCAGTGCCCATAACCACTGAGCTGTGTTTCAGAATCTTTGCATGCCCTGGAAACTGAGCACAAGCTCCTTTGTACACCTGCCAGTTGGGACCTGGTAGCCTGATACAACCTTTGTACCCGTGGTTTTGGCTCATATCTTTTACTTGATATAACTCTTGTATACAAGAGCTCTGTCCCCAGATGTTCTGAAGAAAGCCTATGTAAATTTCAATCCTGATTGAACTGCCTTGCTGAGGTCTTTTACCAAAAAATTTATTTTACATACACTTGAGTGTGCTACTTTTATATAGAAAGTGTGTGGCCTGTATACAGAATTCTTATAATTTCCCAAGTGCGTCTGATCAGGTCATCAACATCAGTAGCAAATAAGATTTTATAAATTGCCAGGTAGTGGCCTTTAATCCCAGCACTCGGGAGGCAGAAGCAGGTGGATCTCTGTGAGTTCAAGGCCAGCCTGATCTACAGAGAGAGTGCCAGGATAGGCTCCAAAGTACACAGAGAAACCCTGTCTCGAAAAACACACACAAAAAAAATTATAAATTAGGGGGAAGGAGCAATTTAAAATAATTTTAGAGGGTCAGGTGTGGTGTCACATCCCCTTAATCCCAGCACTCAGGAGGCAGAAGCAGATGGATCTCTGAGTTTGAGGTCAGCCTGATCTAGATAGATAATGAGTTCCAGAGCTACATACTTGACAGAATCTACCCCCAAGATAGATAGATGGATGGATAGATTGGTAAACAGACAGACAGACAGACAGACAGACAGACAGACAGACAATATAACATAGGGGTAAAGAAAATGGCTCAGCAGGTAAAGGCACTTGCATACATATGTGTGTGTGTATGTGCCTATGTGTGTGTGTGCCTTGCATACGAGCCTAACAATTCGAGTTCAGCCCTCCCTCCAGGAGCACACAGGATTATTAGATGGCTACAGGCCATCATGTATGTACTAGAATCAAACCTGGACACTCTGAAAAAGCAGCCAGTGCTTTTAAATGCTGAGCCATCTCTCCAGCCCTAAAATAATTTTGAATGGAGGCAATTTACTTGCTAAATGAGAACAGAGAAATGTCTTCATGCACTTTTTAAAATTGCGATGTCAGGGATCAAATCCAGAGCTGCTTCTTCCATATTAGGCTAGCGCCTGACACTGAGCTATATCTCAAATAGCTATAGCATTTTTGTATTTTTTTGTTTTGAGACAGGGTCTCCATAAATTCCCAAGGTTCATCAGCCTTCCAAATAGCTAGGATTGATTTGGCCCTTGTGCTGCTAGGCCCCGTTTCCATTAATTCTTGCTTACTTTTTAATTTTTTAAAATATTTTTAAAAAATTCTTTGAGAGTATTTATAATGTATATTTAATTTTGTTATGTCTTGAAGACACGGTTTTAATAAATTCCCCAGGTGGGCCTTGAATTTCGGTTCTTCCTGCCTCAGCTGTATAAAAGATTACAGACCTTGGCCACTAGGCCCTGTTTTCATTCATTCTTGCTTAGTATTGGGGTTTTGGAGTTTTTGTTGTCTAGTTTTTTTATTTGTTTGTTTTGATTTTTTTCATTATACTATGTGTGGTGTGTGTGTATGTTTGCGCCTATGTGTGTATGTATGTATATATGTGTGTGTACCTCTGTGTATGTGGTGTGTATATATGTACACACACACACAAGCATGTACATAAGCTCCTGTGCCATGGCATGTGTATGGAGGTCAAAGGACAACTTTCAGGAATGGGTTGTCTTGTTTCATGATGTGGATCCAAAAATAATGGTAAACTATGAATTTCAAGGCTATTAAGCCAGCACAAACAGGATGGAGCAGCCCTTCCTCGTTCTTCTAAACTCCATGAGATTCACACTGCTTCTCTCTTGCAGGTTGGACCAGGTGGTGATTCACGTGGGAGCGCTAAGCTTGAAGGAGTCACAAGAACTGGTATGGATGTGAAAACATTCAAGGGACCTCCATTTTTATGCTAGAATTAAAACCAATCCTATATTTGGCTGGAGGAGATCAAGTGTGGGACCACTGAAGCAGGCATGGGACCATGGAAAGGCAGTAGCTCAAAGAGATGATAACAGAAAGGCAAAAAGAGACAAAGGAACATCCTCCAAGAGAGCTGAGGTTGGATATGTAAATACAGCTAAGTGAGAGGCAAGGCCATCTGCTGGACAGAAAGGGAATAGGAAATGGGGCTGCCCTGGAGAATGGGATTCTTCACGGGTTCAAAACTAAAGCTGTAGCCAGTGGTGATGCACGCCTTTAATCCCAGCACTCAGGAGGCAGAGTCAGGCCTATCTCTGTGAATTCCAGATCACCAGAACAACAGACACAATGAGATAAAATGCACAACACCAGTCACACATGTGGTATACAGACATATAGACAAAACACCTACATTCATAAAATAACAAAATAAATACATAAAACATTTTAAGAGTGTTATGAATTTCCCTAGTATTCTAGAAGTTGTCAAAGTGCTCTGTACCTTTTGTGATATATACAATCTTTTTCTTCTTAACCTTTCTCAACCACATTCTCAATCCGTAATATCAACTTAAAATATGACTGTTATACCATCCCATGGGAAAGATAATATCATTGAGTAGGCAGAACAGTAGAAGAGAAATTATACATGCAAGTTTCTATGTTCACAGTTGTAAATGAGCTGCTGGGTCTTAGCAAAGTAGTTTTGGTGGTGTGGTAGGATTTTGTCGTGTGTGTGTGTGTGTGTGTGTGTGTGTTAACAGAAATCCAAAGAAATAACCAGACACAGTGGCACAGGCCTGTAATCCTGTTTTTCAGAAGTAGACAGCAGGCATATCTTTAGTTCAAGATTAGCATAGGAGCCTAAGTGTGGAGGGAGGCAGCTGTGGTGCACACCTTTTGTGTCAGCACTGGAGAAGCTGAGGCAAGGGGGATCTCTATGAGTTCAAGCCAGATCTACATCAGAGTTCCAGGCCAGCCAAGGCTACACAGTGGTACCCTGTCTCAAAAAACAAAAGAAAGCAAGCAATGTAGATTCTAGGTGACCAGAAAGATGAGGCAGAGGTTAAGAGCACTGCCTGCTCTTCCAGAGACCCCAGGTTTGATTCCCAGCACCCACATGGAAGCTTATCACTGTCTGTAACCCCAACTCTGGAGAATCTGACACCCTCTTCTGGTCTCTGTAGATGCCTGTGTACACACATAAATAAAAATAAACCCTTAAAAAAATCAGTAAGAAGCCGGGCAGTGGTGGCACACACATTAGTCCCAGCACTCGGGAGTTTGAGACCAGCCTGGTCTACCAGAGTGAGTTCCAGGACAGGCTTCAAAGCCTCAGAGAAACCCTGTCTCGGGGGTGGAGTGGGGGGTGGATCAGTAGGAACAAATCAAGAGGCACCAATGAGATGGCCCAGGGAGTCAAAGCACTTGCTGTGCAAACATGGAATCTGCTTTCCTAAACCCCCCTATCCCTGCTTTGCAATCTGGGACATTTCTGGAAATGACGTTTTAATTCAGCAGTTCTCAACCTGTTAGTCTCAGACCTTTGGTGTCGCCTATAACCCTTTGGAAGCACTGGTGTTTACATTGCATCATAACAATAGCAGAATTACAGTTATGAAAGAATTGTGTGGTTGGGGGGATCACCACAACATGAGGAACTATATTAAAGGGTCACAGTGTTAGAAAGGTTGAGAACCACTGTTTTAATTTAATTGCTTACTCTTTCTCTAGAAGGGGGCCTGGTCAACAAATTTGAAGAGGTTGTCACTGAACTCTAGTGTCTGTTGGTGAGTGCAGCTGACTGTGATCACTTATTCTGTTACGTTCTTCTTCTTGTAAAGGCCCAACATGCAGCAGAAATTGGAGCTGATGGCATAGCTGTCATTGCGCCTTTCTTTTTCAAGTCACAGAACAAAGGTAAGGAAGTTGGTCTGAATGCACAGTGCTTTGCCCTGTCCACCTCTTGCTTTCATTCAAAATAATTATATTTAGTTCATAAAGGCAAAGCCCTACAGACTAGAGGCATGGCATTGCTATGGGCTATTGCTACTCCTCCCAGGTCCATAGCAAAGACTGTATTAAAGCTCATCGGGCTGATTATTTTTCCACTGAGCCCCAGTTGGTAGATAGATGCCTTTGTTTGGGTTAGGTGTGAAATAAGTTATGAGGTTTTGGAGTCATATGGCAAAGCATGAGCCTATTTTTCTCAAAAGAGAAGTGTGAATTATGGTATTTTGAAACTACATGTCCTATTTAGAATTGGTGAATTGTAATGAAATGAAAAGGGATTTCACAAAAATGTCCACTGTCAGCCCGACATGCCTTTAATTCCAGTACTCGAGAGGAGAGGCAGAGGCTGGTGAATCTCTGTGAGTCTGAGGCCAGCCTGGTGTACGACGCCAGTTCCAGGACAGCCAGGGACAATTATACATAGAAACCCTGCCTTGAAAAAGAAAAGAAAAAGGGAGGTGAGGTGGGGGTGGGGGTGGTGGCAGATAGGTGGGTCTTTGATTGCCAGTACTCTAGACACAGAGGCAGGGGTGTCCCTGTGGGTTCAAGGCCAGCCTGGTCTACAGAGTGAGTTCCAGGACAGCCAGGGCTGTTACACAGATAAACCCTGTATTGAAAAAAAAAAAAAAAAAAAAAAAAAAAAAACTTGGCAGAACTGGTCACTCTTTCCCCTTTGGGACTGATCTGGATGGAGCAGAAGCATGACATGTTCCTCTAGGAAGTGGGTTCCCTTGGCCATCAAGTCAACTGCACTACTTCAGATGGCAGAGAGCTGGCTCACACTGTGGATGAGGTCCAAAAGTGGGAGAGACAGCTCTATGTGTCATAGCTTTTCTGCATACTGTGAAAATACGTTCAGCACTTGGGAAATACTTCAGATAAAACTGTTATGAATAATTCATCTCTCTGTTCATTTTTCAGACAAACCACTTACATAAACATTTCCAAAATAGCAGAAGGAAAAAATGTCCACTCTAAATTCTCAAACCATAAGTAAACACTTGTCAACATGAGTGATGGTTTTCCATCTGCCAGCAACAAGTGACATTTCATGACAATTTATGCATTTACTTATGGCTTTAGTCCTCTGCACAAGTGCCTCCCTTTCTCCTCCCCCAAGTCAGGACATCTTACATCTTAAGATGGCCTCAAGCTCCCCATGTAGGGTGAAGATGGCTTTGAACTTCTGATCTTCCTGTAACTATTGAGGCCTGGGATTTCGGCCCTGCGGCACTAACTTGGAGTCTTAGAGCTCTGTGCATGTAGGCACATTCTCTACAAACCACACTACACACCAATTACCCCTTGACATCACTTTTACTACTAATCAGTAGGAATTAAAGGACATAGTCCCTCATTGGTGGAGACAGAAAGATCAGAAATTCAAACATGTCCTTCTATGGAAAGAGTTCAAAGGCTAGGGGTGGTAGCTTATGCCTCTAATACCAGCACTCAGGAGGCAAAAGCAGGCAGATCTCTATGAGTTTGAGGCTAGCCTGATCTAATTAGTGAGTTCCAGGACAACCAGGGCTACACAGAAAGATCCTGTCCTACTCCCCCTCCTCCACCAAACAAAGAAGAGTTCAAGGGAAGGTTAGGCTACTTGAGATCCTATCATAAAAAATAAACACACACACACCTCCTTAAACTTGGATACAAATAGTTCTTGCAGAGAAACTGTCATAGAAGGAGAAAAAAATGTTTTGGAAAACAATACTTTTTTTGGGGGGTTGGGGTTGTGATACATAGCTTTTCTATGTAGCCTTGGCTGTCCTGGGACTTGCTCTCTGTAAGTGACATTGTAATCGAATTCAGGAGTTTTTCAGCTTCTTAGAAGATGGTTGCATCTCACTGGGAGATTCATTTTCTAATGCGGGAAAGCCACTATTTCTTGTCTTGTTCACGTGACTCCTGTCTTTCAGACGCCTTGATAAGTTTCCTGAGGGAGGTGGCGGCTGCAGCTCCTGCTTTACCATTTTATTACTATCACATTCCTTCCTTGACCGGGGTAAAGAGTAAGTATTGCTTTAAAACTGTTTCAGTTTAATTGTATTTATTTTCTGTGTATGCATGTGAGTGTTTTGCTTGCATGTATGTGGGCACCACATGGGTACCTGGTGGCCACAGAAGTCTGAAGAGGGCACCAGATTCCCTGGAAGCAGAGTTAGAGATGGTTGTGAGCAGTGTGTGAATACAGAGAGAGAATCAAAGCACTGCTGTCTGGAAGAATAATCAGTGTTCCTCCACTGAGACATTTGTTCAAAACCTAGGTATTGCCTTTTTTTTTCTTTTTACATTTTCTCCAACTCTCACATCCTACTTATTCCATCAAACTCCATTTCATCTCACCCTACCTACACAGGCCACTGATGAGGCAGTTAAAGTTGCTCCGAATGGAGCCATTCTAAGACCTTGGCCCTCACTGGTCATTCACATCACTTTATATGGAGGCTCTTAGACTTAGAAGAAAAGTGGGTAAAACTGGGTATGGCTGCACAATCCTGCAATTCATGGTAGAGGCAGGCGGATCAGGAATTCAAGGTTATCCCCTGCTACACAGTAAGTTCAAGACCAGCCTTGGATACGTGAGACTTCATCTTAAAAGAAAAGGAGATAATGGGCTGGAGAGATGGCTCAGCCGTTAAAGGCTAGGCTCACAACCAAAAACATAAGAAAAGGAGATAAGAAAATTTGACAGGCAAGCTGGGCCACGGTGAAACACACACCTTTAATCCTCCGGAGGTAGAGGCAGGTGTATCTCTGTGAGTTCCAGATCAGCCAGGGCTCTGTTACACAGAGAAACCCTGTCTCAAAAACAGAAATAGAAAAAGAAAATTTGGCAGGCTAAAACAGGAAGACTGCCATGCATTTGAAATTAGCCTGGAGGGAGGGATACATAGGAAGTTAAAGTCCAGCCTAGTCTACAGCCTGACACATAGACAGCAACTACTTTTGTATCTCCACATTCATTTAGTCAGTTAGTTTTTCAACACTGGGGCTTGAACCCAAGTTATCACTCAGGCAAGTATCCTGACACTAAGCCCTATCTCCAGGCAAAACTTCAGGGGTTTTTTTAGGTTCTAGAGGTTCCCCTTGTACTTGCTAGTAGTCTACCACCAAGCTACACCCCAAGCTAGGCTGCTTCTTTACTCCTGCGATATCCCAATGCTAACACATTCTGAGGAAGAAATGGTTATTCTTACTTTCTCATACTTACCATTTAACATAAAACATTTTACCTCTGGTCACCAAAATGAAATGTGCAAAGCACCACATGAACAAAGCATGGCAGTGCACACCTATAACCCCAGAACTTTCAAGGTGAAGGCAGGAAGACTAGAGAAGTTCAGGTCATCCTCAAAAGCTATGTAGGTTGCAGGTGACCGTATCGCCAAAAAAAAAAAAAAAAAAGAATCATAGCCTTCTCTTGTAATAGCACTGGCTTCCTGAAACTCACTGTATGTATCAGGCTAGTCTCCCACTCAGAGACCCACCTGCCTCTGATACCCTGTTTTGGTTTGGTTTGGTTTGGTTTTTTTTTTTTTTTTTTTTTGGCTTTGGGTTTTTTTTTGTTTTGTTTTGTTTGTTTGTTTGTTTGTTTTTACATACTTTCACTATGTATCCATCCTGACTGGCCTGGAAATGTAGACCAGGCTGCTGACCTCAACCCCACAGAGATTGCCTGCTTTTGCCTCCTGAGTGCTGGAGTTAAGGTGTGCACCACCATGCCCAGCCCATGTTTGGTTTTTTAAAGATAGGCTCCTGCTGTGTAGCTCAGACTGACTTCAAATTGGTTGTGTGGCCCAGACTGTGACCAGAATCACCTTGCCTCAGCCTTCAGAGTGCTGGGAACGGGAATATAATCTGGTAGTTGATAGTTCCTGTTGCTGAGTGGATTAATGACGCATTTGTTGTTGTGAAGTTCGTGCAGAGGAGCTGCTCGATGGGATTCAGGATAAGATCCCCACCTTTCAAGGACTGAAGTTCAGTGACACTGATCTCTTAGACTTCGGGCAGTGTGTTGATCAGAATCACCAGCGACAGTTTGCTTTACTGTTTGGAGTGGATGAGGTAAGTTAGCCCTTGGGCATATCCCAGCTTCACAGTGACCCATTTTAGCTGTTTGTGATACAGCAGCTCTTCTCTTTCTCAAAAAAACCAAATCTCTTTGTCTCTTTCTCATCAGCAACTGTTGAGTGCTCTGATCATGGGCGCTACGGGAGCTGTAGGCAGGTAAGCACGGCTTGTCTTTTCCTAGTGACTATATATTTAAAGTCACTTGTCACTGGACTAGATGGGATTCTTGCATATTCATCCTTTCTAACACAAGTCATTTCCATACCCATTCATTGTTTGACTGCTGCAATTTGTTCGACTCAGTCATGGAAAAATTGACCCTAACTGAAAAAGGATGGTTCTCTCTCCTTCTCTTCCTCTCTCTCTCCCCTCTGCTCACTCCAGTTTTTCTCTCAAATGTTAGTGAAATGAACCTCAAGCTTTAACAGGAAGGGGGAAAGGGAGGGTGAGAAGAAGGAGCATGAGATAGTGGCATAAACATAATAATCCAACACTTGAGAGGTAGAAGCAGGAGGATCCAGACTTCAAGGTTATCCTGAGCTACATGGAAAGTTTTAAGTGAGTCTGAACTACATCAGACACTGTCTCAAAACTGACAACAAAACTGGGCAGTGATGGTGCATGCCTTTAATCCTAGCACTCGAGAGGCAGAGGTTGGCAGATTTCTTTGAGTTTGAAGATACCCTGATCTACAAGAGCTAGTTCCAGGGCAGCCAGGGTTACACAGAAAAACCCTGTCTCAAAACAAAACAAAACAAACAAACAAAAAAAAAAACCTGGCAACAAAACAAATAAAAACACTTCAGTAGTGGCCTCTAATAGGTTCTCTACCCTCTCCCCCAATGGGTTTCTCTACACAGTAAGCCAGATCAAGCCAAACTGAAAAAGCATAACAGGTTTATTTGAGCAAAGCAACTCCTGGGTGGGTTTTCCAGTCCCAAAGATCCAGGCCTGAGTAGCTTTCCGGATCATACAGGGGTAAACTGGAGGTTCCCACCAAACTGTCACATGTGATGATCCATGCTTGTAACGCCAGCAGCATTTGAAAGACTGAGGCAGGAGGATAGCCATGGTTTGAGGTTATGATAACCAATAGCAATACTCTCAAAAAGAAGAAACAAACAAAGAGAGGAGACAGCAGGCAAGTACTGGCTGCTCTTGCAGCTCCCACCTCTGCAAGCACATGGTGCACATAAACGCATGAGGCAAACACATATAAAAATAATAAATAAATATTTTTTAATCTTAAAAAGGAAAGACAGTTGTGTTCTGTGATAGTTCCATTGTGATAAGGTGAGGCAAGAGAGCATGTGGACTGAAGGGGCCCTGGGGGCCCCAGCTTAGCAGCTCTGTAGACCCTGATGGTCAATATCTCAAAGCCAGACTGCCAGAAGCTTAGTTACAAATGTTAGAAATCCACTCAAACCAGCCCGTGTTTAAAAAGCAAAATGTAAGTTGTTATAAAATTCTGACAAATCACACAGCACTCAACTGAGATAAATGCAGCCAGACCCTAGAGCCCATGAAAGCCAGAAACTACAAAGCTCTGAACAGTCACAAGCTAGACTTTCGTCAAGGGCGGCCTGAAGAGGCGCCCCCTCTACATCTTCTGCACGCTTTTATTCTCTTTCCAAGATTTCGTTAGCACTGTCAGACTTAGTCAAGGATCCACCAAGATCCAGCTTGCCATGGCCAGGAAACCATGGCCCAGTGCCTACTAAGCACAAGACAGTTCAATCAGCATAGCCATTCTGCTTGCTAACTCTACTAGAGAATGCTGTGGGTACAGAGACTAGCTGTTTGCGCTAGCTGAAAGTGTGTTTCCTCGGGGGTAGCTAAGGCACTAAACACACTCTGTGTCTTGGTATACCTGCCATTGACACACACTATATTGACTTGATGCCTTTTTAAACATTGTTGATAAGACCCAGTGACTCATGAATGTTAAACACACACTGTACTACCATACTACACCCCTAGCCTGATTTGGATACTCTTTATTGTGTTGTGTATTTGAGGCATGGTCTCATGTAGTCCAGGCTGACCTCAAACTCACTCTATAGCCAAAGATGACTTTGAATTCCTGATCCTCCTGTTCTACCTCCAGGTCTAGTACCTGCTCTGGAACTCAGGCTGGTCCTCCTGCCTCAACCTCCTGAATGCTGAGATTATGGGCATGTGTGACGTGCACTGCCAGCATATGGCCTTTAGTACTTATCTCAGGTGCTATATTTGAGCTCCAGTGGTCTACCTCTGAGTCTGGGTGTGTATCCTAGGCAGTCTCTCCCAACTAGAACATGCCTCCAACTTTTACTCTCTGCTTTCAAACTTTCTTCCTTTCCTTTATCCTCTAGGGCATTCTCTGTCTCCTCTGGTGGCCCAGTTTTATGTTGCTAGAGAACTCAGAACTGAAAACAGACTAGTTCTCCTATCCATTGGTCCTGCAAACAGATAGGTGGGGACCCTCACTATATTTTTTCCTTTGTTTATTTTGACTTTGTTTCTTCTAGACAAGATCTCATGTAGCTCAAGTTAAATTCATACACACTATATAGCTAGGGATGGTCTTGAACTCCTGATGCTCCTGCCTCCACCTACCTAGTCCCTGTTTGAGGACTAGGTCAGGTTCTTACTATGTTGCCCAGGCTGGCCAGCCTAGAGTTCTTTTATGGAGTGTCGTAGTGACTGAACCTAGGCCCATGCATATGTAGGATGAGCCTCTACCACTGAGCCAGTCTGAAACTCCTATCTTTTTCCTTTTAAATCATCAGGTATAAAGGGCTTAGATCTTTCCTACTGAGTTACTAAGCTTAGAATATTTTCATTTGTCTTGCCAGTACCTATAACTACCTGGGGAAAAAGACAAACCAGATGCTGGAGGCTTTTGAACGGCAAGAGTTCACTACAGCACGCAATTACCAGGTGATTACCTCTCCTCGCTTAAGTCCCCATACTACCTCTTTTAACTAAGGGTCCTTTGTCCCCTCTCTCCTCAGCAGGCTTGAAGGCCACCCACCCTGCTGCCTCTTTATCTTTCTTCTGTTATCTCTCCTTTAAAATGGAATCTGCCAGGTGGAGCCTACAACCCTTTTATCCCAGCACTTGGGAGGCAAAGGCAGATGGGATCTCTATGAGTTGGAGGTCAGCCTGGTCTACAAAGGCAGTGCAATTACACAGAAAACCTTGTCTTGAAAAACAAACAAACAAAAGGAACCTGTCCCCATCTTCCGTGTTCCCATATCTAAGGGAACAAAAGGCCCACATGAGACAGAATCCTCTCTTCCTTCTATAAAAGATCTTATTTTTATTCTATCTTCAAAGTTTTGGGTTTGTTGTTTTTTGGGTTTTTTTGTTTTTTGTTTTTTTTGTTTTTTTTTTTTTTTTTTTTTTTGGTTGGTTTGTTTTGGTTTAGTTTATTTTTTGGATTTTGTTTTGTTTCATTTTGTTTTTCTGTGTGTGTGTTTTTGTCTTTGTTTACTTGCTTGCTTTAGTTTTTTGCTTGCTTTAGTTTTTTGAAGCACCATTTGTCTGTGTAGCTTTGGAGCCTGTCCTGGAACTTGTTCTATAGACCAAGCTGGCCTCAAACTCACAGAGATCTACCTCCCTTTTCTTCTCAAATGCTGGGATTAAAGTCGTGCACCACCACTGCCTGGCTCAAAGTACTTTGTTGTTGTTGTTGTTGTAAAGTAATAGCCACGGATTTCAGTGACAGTAACTACATGCCATCCTTCATTTTTTGTATTAATTTATTTTTATTTCATGTGCAGTGGTGTTTTGCCTGCATGTGTGTTTGTGAGGGGCACAGTAAAGAAACTGCTGACATGACAGCCAGCTCCATTAGGGGGAAGATTTTTATTGTGGGTAAGAGAGAAAAAACATCCAGAGGATCTGGAAGGGTCCAGAGTAGGGAGAAAAGAAAGCAGACTGAACATGGCCAGAGCTAAGGAAGCAGGAAAGCAGTAGAGATAGCAAGAAATATGGCAAAGCAAGAGAGATGAGAAAGAGAATAGAAAATGGCAAGAGGGCATGGGGTGAGCAAATGATTTAGGTTATAAGGATGAGTAGCTGCCAGGGAAGCACTCCTTTTGGGGGTTAGAAAACCTATTTCATAAGGGCTGGCCTTTATCTAATCACCAGTAATTCTATAGTCCAGCTTGAGCTCATTTCTAGAATACAGAGTGCTTGAGACCTAACAGCTGCCTAGACAGATGTATGTGCTCACCTATCCCCTTGAGAAAGTCCCACTTGAGTCACCAAGGAATAGGAGAAAGGATGAAGCTGAGGACCTAAAACGGGGAAGGATAATCCTCAATCTACTAGTAGAAGTCATTGTTGTGCACCCTGAAGTGTGCTGAGAGTGGGAAACATCCACTAGGCAGGAAGCAAACTGATGATGCAAAGGAAGGCACTGGCTTTGAGGAGTGTGTGTGTGTGTGTGTGTGTGTGTGTGTGTGTGTGTGTGTGTGTGTGCATACATGTGTTAGAGGGCAAGCTTATGGAGTCAGTTTCCATCTTGTCTGTGGGTTCCAGGGATCCAACTCAGGTGATCAGGTTTGCCCAGCCAATTTTCTGTACTGGATGAGCCACCTCTCCAGCTCTGGTTTAGTTTTGGGTTGGGATCTTTCTACCCAGCCCTGGCCATCCCTGAATTGAAGCAGTTCTCTTTTCTTAGTTGAACCTCACCCCATCCGCCAGGTGCTTGTGTCAGCACACCCAGCTGAGACTCTTGCAATGGGAGAAGAGGCTGGCCTGATAGATTACAAAGAAGATGCAGAGGCATTAGTGGCAACTATTGTGTATGCTACCATGAAGAGTAGAGCCAGTCTCCATAGCTACAGAGTAGCAGTTTTGAGAAAGGCAAAAAAGAAAGTAGAATTACAGGAAGTATGCCATCACAAGTTTGGAGAGGTTTTCGTTTGTGGGTTCAGGAGCTTTTGGTTTGGTTGGTTTGGTTTTGATTTTGGCTTTTGGAGGGTCTTGCTATGTAACTCAGGCAGTCCTGGAACTTAATGACTCCCACCTCTGGGACTGCAGACAGACTCTAACATGCCAGGCACACACCTGGTCTTATGCAGTGCTCTGGGTTGAACCTAGGGTTTCTTGCATGCCAGAGTGATGTCCCTACCAACTAAACTACATGCCCCACCCTGAAGACATTCTTGACTTTGCCACAGAAAAGAGTTTCATGAGAAGCCAGTTAGAACTTGCTAGGAAAAATTTAATGTAGATTTAAGCATGGAGGTTACAAGGAAAAGAGGGGCTTAGGAACAGGAGAGCATAGGCCTAAGAGCGAGTGTGTGGCCTTCTCCAGAGGAGCTTGCACAGTACTGTAGCTGTAGATGGGATGGTGGTGCCTACTGAAGTTAACTATCTTCAAAGGGTTGCAGAGAAATTTCAAAGAGATCACAGAGTGGTTCCTGAGAAGCTCCGTTAAAGGTAGAACTCTATAGGAATTTGGGAAAGCTTCAAGATGAACAAAACTCAATAATTGTTTCTTGGGTTTTTTTTTTTTTTACATGTATTTATTTACTTGTGTGCATCTGCACACTCACATGTGGAGATCAGAGGACAGCTTGGGGAAGGAACTGGGTTTTCTCCTCTCATAGCCTGAGCATGTTTTGCTGACCTCACTGACTTCTTCCGTTCTGATAGACCTATAGAAAACTAAGGTGGCCAGACTCTGTAGAGTTCCTGCCATTTGACTTCTGGATTTCACAATGCGGCGATGCTGACTATAGACTCTTTGTTCTGTTCTAGTTTTGTATCCAGAGATTTATCAACTATGTGATCAAGCTAGGTGAGTACCCTTGCTGTTCTCTGCTTTGGTGCTGACTGAAAGCAACAGCTCTTACTTACCAAGCCAGGGTTACCTGATTATGGGTCAGAGGGAATGTCATCCATCAGGCATGGATCAGAGGTCACAGCAAAACTAAGGCTATGACAACTTTATTGTAAGCAATCAGACTTTTTAAATTATGTTTTTGCATTTTTAAAATTTACTTTTTTATATTCCAGAGACTTTTTTAAAAAAGACTTATTTATTTATTATGTATACAGTGCTCTGGCTGCATGTATACTATGCCTGCAAGCCAGAAGAGGGCACCAGATCTTATTACAGATGGTTATGAGCCACCGTACGGTTGCTGGGAATTGAACCCAGGACCTCTGGAAGAGCAGCCAGTGCTCTTAACTTCTGAGCCATCTCACAATCAGACTTTTTACACCCTTATCAGAAACCGATTATAATAGTAGTTGCCAGGATACAATGTCGTTTACAAGCTATACAGAGTACATAAGATTAATGTCTAAGACTAATTGTCCTGTCAAGCCTCAATATGCTTCACTGACTTCTAGAGAATGCAGAGATAAACGGACAGCCTGAATGCTTCCCTGCCTGAGGGAGGGAGGGCCTTGGTTCCTAAGGAACTGAAAGGCACACAGTGCCCCAGGAGCCACAGATTCTAATGTGAAAAACCCATCGTATATGCCTCTCAAAGCATCTAGACCGGGCCAATACCATGATTTCCTGAAGTTGTAAAAGATGTAAAAGATGGGTTTTCATCACTCCCTATAAGGGTTCAACCAGTATTCCTATAGTGCTCAGTTATGACCCTGACAGTACCAGCAGAATAACATGTTGAAATCAACGTTGGAGTCTCCCACAAATCTCTCTCCTCCACCTCAGCATGTTGTTGTCCAGTGCTTGATCTTGTGTGAGTGTGTGTGTGTGTGTGTGTGTGTGTGTGTGTGTGTATGTGTGTGTGTGTTCCTTCTATATCAGCATCCTCCCTACCCCCCATTGTTTGTCTCTGCTCATTAAAATTCTACTGCTGAACCACGACTGATTTCATCCTAAGTACTTGGAGGAAGGCAATCTGAATACAGATCTTACTAAATTATGAATGACTGACAGTTCCCCTGAGGGTTTGAAAATTTAAAAGGAGTTTATTAATACAGGTAAATTTAAGTGGATGGAGGTTTGGATGACAAAGGAAAGTTAGGGGGAAACACAGCGAGTCTGAGTAGAGGAACCTGTGCAAAGTGTCTTAACTTACTGCGCAGCCAATGACAGGTGCTGCCATTCACTCCACCTCTGCAAGAGATGGGCCTTTGGGACAGCTGGACATGGGTCAAGTCCAGAAGTTCCCAGTGTGTTCTTGGCAGACCTCCCACCTCCCTTTCACAGCCTTTCTGCCTTGTTGTAGCAACTGTGTCCTCCCCCCTAGCACCTATTGTCTAGTTGGCCTCGTTCCCACAGTTCCAGCCAGCTTCCCCAGTTCCTCCAAGACATGGTTTCCATTTGCTTTCACACTTTAGTAACGTTGTCATAGTGAAGTGCCACCACCGGATCTGTTAAATAGCATTATTATTCCTGTGCCCTAACCAATACTTTTCACGAAGATTGTGATTTCTATATAATAATTATGTGTTTCTAGAGTACATTAAGATAGAAAATTAACTATAAAAAGGGACATGGCAGTACATGTCTGTAATCCCAGCACTAGAGTAGTTCAAGGCAGGAGGACCGAGGACAAGGTCATTCTTCTAAAGCCATGCTGGGCTATAGAACTTGTCAAAATAAATAATCAAATGAAATGAAGAATAACATACCTATAGCTGGATATGGAAGCACATGCCTGTAATCCCAGACCCATGATGTCCACAACTGGTCTACATGGTTCAGGACAGCCAGGGATATATAACAAGACCTAATCTCTGAAAGGGTTTAGGGGCTGGAGAGTGGGCTCAGTGGTTAAGAGCACTGGCTGTTCTTTCAAAGTTCAGGATTAATTTCCAGTACCCTCAGGGTGGCTCACAATCATGCTAACTCCAGTTCCAGGAGCTCTGACACACTTTTCTGGCCTCCATGGTCACCAGGCACTCATGTGGTACATATACATATATGTAGGCAAAACATCCATATGCACAGAATAAAATTTAAATTTTGAAAAAAGGCTGCGGGTGGGGTAAAAAGTTTGGAGTGGTGGTTCACTGGTTAAGAACATTCCTTGTACAGGGTACTGGTGTCAGATGCATTTAATCCCAGAATTCAAGAGGCAGAGGCAGAGGCAGGCAGAGCTCTGGGAGTTCAAGGACAACCTGCTCTATGGATCGAGTTGCAGGACAGCCAGAGCTACACAGAGAAACCCTGTTTAAAAAGAAAGAAAAGAAAAGAAAGAGTGGGGCATTGGTGGCACACACCCTTAATCCCAGCACTCGGGAGGCAGAAGCAGGCAGATCTCTGTGAGTTCAAGGCCAGCCTGGTCTACAGAGCCAGTTCCAGGACAGGCTCCAAAACAATACAAAGAAACCCTGTCTCTAAAAACAACAAAACAAAACAAGAATGTCCCAAGCTCTTCCAAAAGACCAAAGTTCAAATTCCAGTACTCTCTTAGAGCTGCCCACAATAACTCCAGAGAATTCAACACCCCCTTTGATCTATGAGAGCACCCTGACCCATAGCATGCACTCACACATAAGTAGATTTATCATGGGAAATAGAAATAATGTAATTGAGTTTTGGTGGGTTTTTTTTTTTGTTTGTTTGTTTGGTTGGTTGGTTGGTTGTTTTTTGTTTTGTTTTGTTTTGTTTTTTTTTTTTGAGATAGGGTTTCTTTGTGTATCTCTGGCTGTCCTGGAACTAGCTGTATAGACCAGGCTGGCCTTTAACTCACAGAGATCTACCTGCCTCTGACTTCCGAGTGTAGCTAGGATTAAAGATGTGGGCCACTATCACCCGATCTTGTTTTTGTTATTAATTAAAGTTAGATTAAAGACTAGAAGAGAGAAAGAGAACATGGGGTGCATTCCTGTATTCTCAGTAGCACTTGGGAAGCTGAGGCAGGAGGATTGTTGTAGATCAAGGCCAGGGCATGGTATGCATCAAATGTCAAGCCAGTCAGAACTAAATAACAAGATCCTGACTCAAAGCAAAACCAAGATGATACATACGTACATATATATATATTTTTTAAATATTTTTTTTGCTTTTTTTTTTATCTTATTTTATATGTATTTGTTTGTGTTTGAGCACCTGGCTATGGATGCCCGAGGAGGTCAGAAAATCATATCAAATTCCATGGAGCTGGACTTAAGAGGCTGAATTTGTGAGCCCCATGATACCAGAGAATTGAATTAGGTCCTCTGCAAGAGCAGTACATGCCCTTAACCACTGACCCACCTCTCTAGCCCACATACATGTATATAGCCAAGGGTATTTTGGACATCAGACCTTCTGCCTGTACCGTCTGAGTATCGGGGTTATAGGTATAGACACCATTGCTAGTTTATGCAGTACTGGGGAATTGAACCAGGGGCTTCATGCATGTGGGACAAGCACTCTATTGAATAAGCTACACCCCCAGCCTGTATTTAGTATTTCTCCTTTCCTTTGAAAAACATCTGCCTGTTCCTCCCTGCCCCCCCCCCCCAACTCTTTCCATGGTGTGTGACTTCTCTCACTTTACCCCCATCAAACCTTTCTGAATTTCCTGTCTTCTCGGTATGTTAATTTCGTCACCTGCACATTTGCTGGCGCTTAAGTTAATCCTTTTCATTGTGTGCTTTGTAACATCGAGCTCCAAATTCATTCAGAGGTCAGGGTTCTCTGAGGAAGCTACTGTTCCAAGGCTGCAAGGTGCCTCTGTGAGTGGATTTCCATTTGTTCTCAAAAGACCGCTTTAGCCTCACTGTGTGATGATGCAAACTCAGATCCAGCATTCACTTGTGACAAAGGCCTGCGATGTCGGGATGTCTGTTTATCTATGTATCTGTATGGTATGTACTTGCCAATGTCAGATCTCTCTCTCTCTTTCTATTTCTTACTTTTTCTTCTTGTAAGACCCTCAGAATGAGGAGTCTTCCAGGTTCGGTCGATACCCCAAGAACTCAATGTCCAGTCCAGATGCTGCAAAACACAAGAGGCTTTAATGAACAGAAAACGTTTGCGCAAACGGGCTCCTCCAGCACGCAGGCTAGAGAGAAGCCCCCTCCCCCGGGCACAGGTGTTTTTTAAAGGCAACCCCACAAGCTTAGGGAGGGGGTGGGACCCTCTGTCCATTGAGTACGTGACCCTTGGAGGCCGGATGGTCTGCTATTAGGGTCAGCAGACCTTAGGGCCTCAGGTGTGCTAATTAATCTTGTCTGGGCAAACCAGAATTACAGCTATCTCTTGACCCTATTTACCACCTGTTGACTCACAGGAAAGGAGGGGCAGTGTGAATTCCTCTTATCTCAGGGCCTTGTGAGAGGAAGCTAGCAAATTCCAAGGAACAGATATTGGTTTCTAGGTTAGTCCATCATTAACATTACTTTTTCGGTCTTTCATTCTTTTTTTTTTTCTGAGACAGAGTTTCTCTGTCCTGGAACTCACTCTATAGACCAGGATGGCCTTGAACTCAGAGATTCGCCTTCCTCTGCCTTCCAGTGCTGGGATTAAAGGCATGTGCCCCCATGTAACATAAGCTTTCTGGCCCATCTGGGTCTGCCCTTGAGCCCAAAATAAACACACAGATACTATATTAATTATAAAACTGTTGGCTGGTGGCTTAGGCTTCTTATTGGCTAGCTCCATCTTAATAACCCATTTCTATTAATCTATGTATTTTCATGAGGTCTTGGCTCACTGGAGAACGCCTTACACATCCTCTCTTCCCCTGTTCTACGGACAACTCCTGTCCTCCTACATTTCCCAGAATTCTCTTTGTCTCCTAGCCCTGCCTATATACTTACTGCCTCATTGGCCATGATATTTTATTCATCAACCAATAAGAGAAGCATATATATATATATATATATATATATATATATATATATATATGACATCCCCATCACCACCACTGCCTGATTTCTCTTTCTTTAGAAAGCCAACCTTCAGACAAAAAAAAAAAAAAAAAAAAAAAATCAGAAAATAAATGAGGGAATGAATAAAACAAAGAGAAAGCACAAGGGACACACAAACAGAACCTATAAAAACACAAAATTGAAAACTATAATATACAAGCAAAAGACCAGGAAGACAAAAAAAAAAAAAAAAGTCCAAACAAAGCAATATAAGATAGGGGAAAAAAAAAAAAAAAAAAAAAACCCTCTACAAAATGACCATTGCATTTGTTATATGTTAGCCATCTACTGCTGGGCTTGTGAACTACCCTTAAGTGTAATTTATATACCTAGTGAGACTCTGCTGGACAAAACCAGTTTTTTTCTTTGCAAGTGGATGTCCACTTCCCCTGTCAACACCACCTGATTTGAACTTGTGCAGGCCTTTGCATGCTGCCAGTCTCTGAGTTCATATGTGCATCAGTCCCATTATGTCTGGAGAACACCACTTCCTTGGCATCACCCATCCTCTCCACCTCTTAGACTCATGCCTCCTCCTCTTTCCCATAGTTCCCTGAGCCCTGAGTGAAGGGATATGACGAAGATGTCCCATTTGGGACTGTCAGTTCTCCACTTTTATTTATTTATTTTAAATTTATTCTTATTTCTACTTCTTGTGTAAGAATGTTTTGTTGCATGCATGTCTGTGCACCAGATGTGTCTGGTACCCAAGGAAAGGCTAGAAATGAGTATTGGATCCCCTGGAGTTACAGACAGCTGTGAAATGCCATGTGAGTGCTAAGAATTGAACCCAGGTCTTCTGGTAGAACAGCCAGTGCTCTTCACCACTGAGCAAACTCTTTATCTACATACCTACCTTGAACTTTTGACCCTCACACTCCACCTCTTAGGTGCTGAGATTATTAATGTCTTTGTTCCACCATGCCCAGCTCCTTCTTGCTTTTAAGGTGATTTTGACTCCATGGATTGGTGTTTGTTTGTTTGGTATTTGTTTGTTTTTCCTTTTATTTATTCATTTTGAGTGTGTGTGTGTGTGTGTGTGTGTGTGTGTCCTTACAGGGGCTCAATAGCCTACATGTGGAGGCCAACTTGAGGGAATCAATCCTCTCCTTCCACTATGTGTGTCCTGGGATTGAACTTGGGTGGTTTAGGAGCACCTGCCTTTACTTGCTGAGCCAATATTGCAGGCTCCAACTCAGACTCTTTGTATTGTTTTATTTAGTTTATTTACTTACTCTCATATACTAAGCAAACACTCTACCACAGAGCTATACCCCCAGCCTCTTTTTGTTTTAGTTTGTTAATTTCTTAAAACAAGCAAGAGGGATTTATTTTAGCATTCATTCATTTATTTTTATAAGTGCACGCTCCTGTCACAGCATGAGTACGGAAGTCTGAAGGAAACTTGCAGAAGTCTCAGGAATTGAACTTAGGCTCTCCGGGTTGGCTGCAAGTGCCTTGACTAACTGAACCATCTCGTAGGCCCAAAGGGGATGATTTCTTTTTCAAAAGGATTGTATTTCATTTTTAGTTGTGTGTTTGGGGGGTGGGGGTGGAGGTGGGATTAATATGGGTTTTCGCATATGAGTGCAGTTCCCACAGAGACCAGAGAGGGTATTAGATCTCCTAAAGCTGGAGTTACAGGGAGTTCCCAGTCACCCTACATTGGTGCTGAGAACCAAACTGGGGTCTTCTGAAAGAACAGGGAATGCTCTTAATTGCTGAGCCATCTCTCCAGCCCTGAGAGGAGGGCTTCCTACTCTGTATGTGTAAGGCAGGATCTCACGTGGCTGAGACTTACCTTGAACTCTTGGTTCTCCTATGTCCACCTCCCAAGTATTACCACACCCAGCTCAGTCAAACCAACGAAACCGACGACGGCAAGTGTCCTTTTATTGTTTACCATGTCTTCTTGCAGTGGTTACTTTGGCATATAGCCTCTTCTTTGGGGATGTTTGTGGGAAAGTAGGCAGTACCAGATATGTTTCACTCTTTATTTTTCCCATCTAGGTTTTGGAGTGTCACAGACCAAAGCCATCATGACGCTGGTCTCTGGGATTCCGATGGGCCCACCCCGGCTTCCTCTGCAGAAAGCCACGAAGGAGTTTACTGCTAACGCTGAGGCCAAGCTGAAAAGCCTGGATTTCCTTCCTTTGCCTGGTTTAAAGGAGGGGAACTTAGAAGCCCGTAGCTAGTGCCTGTTAAGCCTGGGTGTATTGATTGACTTCATCTACCTTCAATAGCACATTCTCTTCTCAGGGACATTTTAGGTGATTTTGAGCTAATCTTTCTTTTAGCAAATGGAATCCCACACCAATAAAGAAATATTCAAATATAAATTTTGTTTTGTTTTTCAAGACAGGGTTACTCTATAGCCCTGGCTGTCCTGGAACTCAAGAGCTCTACCTGCCTCTGAGTCCTGAGTGCTGGGATCAAAGATGTGTACCACCAACACTGCCAACCTAAATATCAATTAGGAACCAAAAATTTTTGTTTTAGAAAGGAATCATAAACCCTAAGTAATTCATTTCACAAAATTATTGCAATGATTGCTTATAGCAATGAAATGGGACCAAGTGAAAATTGTAATAATAACTGCAATTATTAATTATATTAATTAAGACAATATTACATTGAATAGTGAATTAATTATGTGATTAATAAATTTCATCTGCCTTTTGGGAGCACTTATTGTCTTAGTCTTATTTTAAAGTTTTGTAATTTGAATATTCTATCTCATTGAATTCTTGCTTGTTTCTTTTGAGATGGGGTTTCACCATGTGGACCAGGCTGGCCTTGAACAGACCAAACCCAGTGTTGTGCCCAAGTCCTGAAGATCCCCAAAGACCACCAGGCACAAATGTATAAGGTTTATTGTTCATCCATCCATGACAGGGACCTCGTCTGGCCGGCTGACCCAGCAGCCACCAGAGGAAGCGAGTTCCCTGTCTACTGTCAGGTTTTTAAAGGTAAAAATCACGGGATTACATCAGTAGGTGTTGGTTTCTGATTGGTTGACATTTGGGGAACAATCGGGAATTTCTCAAAGACTTATTTTAGCATGAAATACCTGCGTACCAATTACTCTCATTGGTCAGTGATGAGAGGGAACATTCTGTGGTTTCTATGACTTTGTCTTGTTACTTACAGGTGGCCTGTTGTTCATAGGTACCAGTAGTTATTAGAACTGTATACTGGAGACTACAGGAGAGGCTTTGGTCTTCCCTGGAGTTTCTTTTGTGGCCAAACAGTTCTCAGGAACCAAACATCTAGGAGGTTAGTGGGTGTCTGGACTTTCTTTGTGCTGAGTTTTGGCCCTAGGCTGTGGGAGGCCAGGGGATCTGAAGTTTCTTTGTATCATGTGCTGAGTCAGAGGCCTACATGTCTTTTCTGTAGCCTGTCATGGCTGCTAAAGCAGGAGGCTGAGTGAGGGTCTGGTCCCTGTATTAGTTACCCCTTTCACACAGCTGTTCTCAAATAATTTAACTGGGACTGGAGAGATTGTTCAGTAGTTGAGAGCACTGAATGCTCTTCTAGAGGACCCAGGTTCAATTCCCAGCACCCACATGGCCTCATACCATCTGTAACTCGAGATCCAGGGGATCTAGTGCCTTCTTCTGGCATGCATGTACTGTCCCCAGAGGCCAAAGAAGGGACTAGATCCCCAAGAACAGGTAGCTGTTAGCTACCTGATAGGGGTGTTAGGAACCTAACTCAGGTTCTCTGGAAGAACAGCAAGGGCTCTTACCTGCTGAACCATTTCTCCAATTCTTGTCATGCTCCCCCCCCCCCAAGACAGGGTTTCTATGTAGCCCTGGCTGTCCTGGAACTCACTCTGTAGACCAGGCTGGCCTCTAACTCAGAGATCTGCCTGTCTCTGCCTCTTGAGTACTGGGATTAAAGGCGTGCACCATCTCTGCCACCAACACTGCCAGGTTTTCCCCCCAGTAACAAAATAGTTTTGTTTTGCTTTTAATTTCAAGCTGGGACTGGAGAGATGGCTCAGCAGTTAAGAGGACTTGCTCTTCTAGAGGTCCCAGATTCCATTCCTAGCACCCACATGAATGTTCACGATTACTGGTAACACTGGTTCCAGAGGCTCTGATGCCCTCTCAGGCCTCCACAAATACCAGGCACACATATGATATAGATATACATGCAGGCAAAGCACTCCATAATATAATATATTGGTTTAATTTTTTTTTAAAGCAGCCAGATATAAGATAATAGGATGACTTAGTAGATGAATGTACTTTTTGTTTATTGTGTGTGGAAATTAGAGGACAGCTTGGAGTAGTTGATTATCTCCTTGTACCATATGGGTTCTGGGAATCAAACTCTTGTTGTCAAGCTTTGTGGAAAGCACCTTTAACCACTGTGTCAGCCCAAAGCAACTAAAGAACACTTTCTTTCTTCCTTTATTTTAGGTTTTTTGAGACAGGGTTTCTCTGTATTGTTTTAGAACCTGTCCTGGAACTCGCTCTAACAACTAGGCTAGCCTCATAAAGATCTACCTGACTCTGCCTCCCGAGTGCTGCTGGGATTAAAGATGTGCAACACCACCACCCTGCTCAAAGAAAGCTTTTAATTTGGGACTCATGAGTCCAGAGGGTTAGAATCCATAAACATTATGTCAGAGAGTAGAACATGATAGCAGGCAGGCATGTATGACACGGGAGCAGTATTAGAAAGCTTACATATGTTTGTTCCACAAACAAGAGGCAGAGAGTACTAACTAGGAATGGCATGGGCATTTGAAACTTCAAAGTTCTCCCCTAATGACACACCTCTTCCAATAAAGCCACTCCTAATCCTTCCCAAATAGTTCCATCAAATGGGACCAAGCGTTCTTTTTTGTTTGTTTGTTTTGTTTTCTTTTGTTGTTCAAGACAGGATTCTCTGTGTAACCTTTGCTGTCCTAGAGCTCACCTTGTAGCCCAGGCCGGCCTCAAACTCATAGATCCACCTGCCTCTGCCTCCCAAGTGCTGAGATTAAAAAAGTTTGTGACATCACAGCCCAGCTGATACTTGATTTCTTAAATCACAGTTAAGGAGATCTTATTAAAAATAAAAAGAAATGTGATAAGTAAAAATGACCAGAGGTTTTTTGTTTTTGTTTTTGTTTTTTTTTTTAGGCATCCAAATGCTTCAAAGTTAATTTCATATATTATATATGGCAACCTCTGTTTCAAAATAAAAATCTGAAATCGGGTCACTGGGAAAGCTGGCGGGGCAGAGCAGCCTCAGAGGCTGACTGGACTTGGGACTTCTTGTGGGTTTATTTAAAGCATAGAAAAGTGCCATGGGCAGAGTAATGCATGCACTTTCCTAGAAAAGCTCAACTTGAGAGAAAATTCCCCTTTATTATTACCCAAAAAGCATAGGGAGTCTCTGCTCTTAGGGGACTTTCTAGAATGACTACAACCCAAACCCACAGATCTACCTACCTCATATAGTCTTTACATATGGGGTGGGGTGAATGGGACCTGCAGCCCATCACATGAAGAAGAGCAAACAAAACAACTCATTAAGTCATCCCTTACCATATGCTTACTCAACCCCAAGACTCCTTCAGTGAAACCAAGAAGGAAGCTTGAAACCAAGGTTCTACTAACAGCACCTCCAAGGCCCCAGTAAAGGTAGAACATCACTTCTCATTACTACTCATTTGAGTAGACAAAATACCAGTTTAATTGTGGTTTTCTGTCAATGCTTTGGTTCCATGAAATAATTTGAAACACAGGACACTTTTGATTTTAAGTTAGACAACCAAGAAAAATGTTGAAGGTTTATCTGAAATCATAATCACACAACTAGTAATCATAATGTAAACAGAACCTTTATCCTGGCAGGACTTATTATCTTTAAACATTAGAATCTTCAAATTCTGAAAGATGAACACTAAGCAAACCATGGCTAATATATTTACTATGCAACAGCTAGACTATATTCATACATTTCAGTGTCCTACATTTGAGCTAGACCATGGGTGTACCAGTACAGAAGTCCTTGTGAGTGCCAACCATTGAGGAATGTGCCTTCTCAACCATTGGCAAGCACATGTTCTCAAGGAAGTACATCAGGGTCTTCTGAGTTAAAACCAAGTCCAATTTGATTCAAGCAAGGTAACCCTGAGTATTACTTTCTTTTCCTGTTGCTTTGATAAAGTACCCAAGCAAACAAAGAGAGGAAAGATTCATCTGAGGTCATGGCCCATGCTTCAAGGAAGCTTGAGGAAGCTATCTTGGTCACACTGGCCTGCAGTCATGAGACAGAGTGATTAATGTCTGTGCTCAGTTCACTTTCAGGGTTGTTTTGTTTGGAGACAGGATCTCACTATGCATCTCTTAGTGTCCTGGAACCTTACTGTGTAGATCAGGCTGGGTTTACACTCAGTGATCCATCTGCCTTTGCCTCCTGAGTGTTCAGATTAAAGGTGTGCACCTCTCACACCTTCTAGGCTCACTTTCTTAAACAGTCCAGGAGCCCATTCCAGGAAATTGTGGTTGGGTATTTCTGCCTCAATTAGCCTAATTAAGATTAATTGATTAGACCAAGCAATGGTGGCACTTGTCTTTAATCCCAGCACTCAGGCAGAGGCAGAGGCAGGCAGATCTCTACAAGGCCAGCCTGGTCTACAAACTGAGTTCCAGCACAGCCAGATCTGTTACACAGAGAAACCCTATCTCAAAAAAAAAAAAAAAAAAAAAAAAAAAAAAGGTTAATTAATTAACCTAATCTGGATCAAAACAGAGTAACTGCATCCTGGTCTACAAAAAACAAAGCCCACTCAAATATTAAAGTTGTAATTAAATAAGATGAAGTGACTGTGGCACATGCTGTGGTGGCACATGCCTTTAATTCCAGTCCTTGGGAGGCAGAGGCAGACAGATCTCTGTGAGTTTGAGCCCAGCCTGGTCTACACAGAGTTCCAAGTTATTCATGGTTATACAGTGAGACCCTGTCTGGGGAGGGAGGGACTATGGTGAAGGGTGTTTTTTTTTTTTTTTTTTTTTAAACTATTCCAACCAAGATCACATAGTTTATGTCAGAGTCAAAATATGAACTTTTAAGAGTTGGGTTTTTTTGTTTGTTTGTTTCTTTGTTTGTTTTTCAGAGAGCATATGATGTAGCCCAGGCTGGCCTCAAAGTAGATCTAGTAATCCAGTAACCTTGATTTTTTTAACTCTCCTTCCTCTACTTCTTTTGTTGTTGTTGTTGTTGTTGGTTTTTTTTTTTTTTTTTTTTTTTTTTGAGACAGGGTTTCTCTGTGTAGTTCTGGTTGTCCTGGAACTTGATCTATAGGCTAGTTTGCCCTCAAACTCACATAGATCAGACT